CTGCGGGGGCCGGGGGCCACACCGCACTGCAGGGACCCAGGCCTCCGCGGCCCCACCCTTTCGGTCCCTGGGGAGCCTGCAAGTCCAGCCCTGCAGCGACCCCAGCCTGGCACCTGCCCACTTTCCCTTCGCTGCAGTGAGTCTCGCTGCAGCCGGAAGCAGCCAGCCTGGCGGCCGCCGCAGCACCACCCCCTACTTTTGGACCGTGGCTGTGGCCGCCCGGCTTCTGCTGTTCCGAGGCTTTGAGAGCGAAGGGTCCAGCTAAGGGGTGCAGACTGTCCCTGTCACAGCAGTGTCGTCCCCCCACCCCCAATCACTGCATCGCCCCGGGAGAAACAGTCCTGCTTGCGGGCAGAGTCTTCCCGCGTGGGACAGCGTCCCCTGCAGCACCCTAGCCTCGTCTGTGAGACCTCTCCCGGGAGCCCCGTGGGAGGCGGGCGGGTGTCTGGAGGTCCTTCCACGGGCCAGGCCCCGATTCTGCAGAGGCCTTGAAGGGGCTGAGGTTGGGCCGGCCCGTGGGGAGCCCCTGCGTTCCCACCCTGCCCATTAACGCTGTGGTTCCACATTGGCCCCCCCCGGGGGGGGCGAGTCTGCGTGAGCACCTGAGCCCTTAACCCCAAGCTCCTGCGTGCTCTAACCACTTAGCATGACAGCGACTGGTTGCCCTTTCCCCAAAAAGCTTTGGAGTGGACATGCACACGTGGAGCCCAGCCATTGTGGCACCCCCTCGGCCACAGGGGGCTCCAGTGGGTCGTGGCTCTGTCTTTTCCCAGGGGGCCACTGGCTCCTCTCCTTGTTTTTTGCTTTGTTTGTTTGGTACCGGGGGTCGAACTCTGGTCCTTGCGCTTGTGCAGCAAACCTCGAAACTACTGAGCTAAATCCCCAGCCCCGTCCTCTCCTTGTTTGTCTGCAGAACCCACCCCAGCCTCAACTCGGGAGAAACAGTGGATGAGCGATGGTCTCTTCAAGATGACCCAAGTCCTCAAGCAGGACTGGGGCTGGCCCTGGGGACCCCACCGATGTCCAGGCAGCGGCCACCTCCCCCAGGTGCCTTGGGCTCAGCCCCTTCCGCAAATGAACCAAGAGCTACGGTGACCCTCAGGTCCAACATGAGGCTGCAGAGATCTCAAAGTCAGAAATGGAAGGGGAGTCAGGCCTGGTGCTGCATGCCTGTGACCCCTTGGGAGGCTGAGGCAAGAGGATCGCCTAGAGTTGGAAGCCAACCTGGGCTACATAGTGAGACCCTGCCTCAAAAAACAAAACAAAAGAGAAACAAAATGGAACAGGCGATGAGGCCTTGCCTTGGTCCTGAGGAGAGCCTGGAAGTAAGAGTGTCCCTATAGTAAGCCAGTGTCCCCGTAGGAGCCCTCAGTGGGCAGGGAGCAGGTTAAGTTTGTCTCAGACCAAGCCAGGGCAGCCGGTCAAGGACGCATCCTGGGGCCGCAGTGCAGGCTGGGTACAGAAGGGGCTCCAGGCCTCGGGAAGGCTCTCTGGAGGAAGCAGGGCTGGCAGGGCGTGGGCTGAGGGTGACAGGGAAGGAACAGCACAGCCCTGAGGGCCCGAAGCCAGGTCGGGAGGTGGAGGAGAGTGGCTTGAGCGCCAGGTGTGCATGGAGCTGGTGTGCTCTGCCTGGGGGGGAGAGGGCTGGGCCTTGGTTCCAAGGGCAGAGGGATGGCCAGAGGCTGAGATGAGTGCGTCAGGGAGGAGCGATGAAGCAATGGCTGCTGTGTCCTGTGAGACTGGGAGGAGCAGCGGCAGGATTGAAACTATGTCTGATGGGAGTCGGGAAATCAGACAGTGCCCTCGAATAGTGCGTGGTTTCTCTTCTATGAGAAATCAAGGTATACACACATCAAAGAACAAAATAAAAGGCACCTAGGAAACAGGGAGGTAGACCATCTGTAAGTGGGAAGGGCACCGAGAGATGGAGGGAGGGGGAGGGAGGGGAGGGAAAGAGACAAAAAGAACTAGAATGTGTTACAGACGCCTGTAATCCCAGCACTTGCGAGGCTGGTCATGAAGTCGAGGCCAGCCTGGACTACATAGTGAGTTTAAGGCAGCCTGGACTACAAAGGGAGACCCTGTCTCAAAAAAACCACAAAACTTCGAAAGTGTGTTGTGTCATTGTACCAGCTCCCCACGAGGAATGTGATCATTATGTACTACAAACATGGACCAATAAAAATACAAAACACAAAACTAAAGATGAAATGGGAGTTAGGCGCGGAGGTGATCAGCTCGTGAACCAGTAGGAGAGGCAGAGGGACTGAGGAAAGTCCAGGAGCTCTGGCTTTTCTTCTCTGGATTAGCATTTGGCGTATATTTACAGCAGGCTGGGCGCCGTGCGGCTAGTGGATTCTCTCATCCAATAGGCCAACAGGGTGGGGTGTAGCTCAGTGGGAAACCACGTTTGACTCATGCAAGGCTCTGGGTTGCGTCCCCAGTGCCCCACCTCCCAAGTCATATCTCCCTAAGAGACAGGCACTGTTATTATCTTACACAGAGAAAACCCAGGCCTAGAGATCACATGAAGTACCTACCTGCTCCCACGAGCTGCTACTGTGATAGAGCTGAGGTGTTGCCTAGGATGGCCTGGCCACACCACGCTTGCTTTGAACTACTCCTACAGGCAGGGCGTGGTGGCACCTGCCTGTAATCCCAGCACTTGGGAGGCTGAGGCAGGAGGATCGCTGCAAGTTCGAGGCCAGCCTGAACTACAAAGGGAGACCCTGCCTCAACAAACAAACAAACAAAATAAATAAATAAAAATAAATAAATAAATAAAACATAAAAAGTAGGGCCAGGGATTTAGCTCAGTGGTTTTGTCACCTGCTGCACAAGCACAAGGACCCGAGTTCGATCCCTGGTACCAAAAAATAAAAAATAAAATCTTCTCTTATTGCTTTTGTTGTCTTCCACTGCCATGAACTGTTTCCCCTCTGCCATATGCCACCCTGCCTTGGAGCCAGATGATTATGGACTGAAACCTCTATAAACTGTGAGCTGAATAAACCTGTCCTCCTTTGTCTTTGGGCATTGCGTATTTTGTCTCAGCAATGAGAAAAGTGACTAACACACTTGCTTTCCTTTTTCCTTTCTTTCTTTTCTTTTTGAGATGAGGTATCCTATGTTTTGGGGTTTGTTTTGTTTTTTGAGACAGGGTCTTGCTATGTAATTCAAGCTGCCTTGAACTCACTATGTGGCCGAGGCTGGCCTTGAACTCACAGCAATCCTCCTGCCTCAGCCCCCTGAGTGCTGGATTATAGGTGTGCACCATCATGCTCAGCTTTTAACTTACTTCTTAATTAACAAATATTATATATTTTTACTGTGTATGGCATGCTGTGAACTAGCCATGATTCCATGTGCTTTCTCTGTCCCCCCTTCTCCTGGAGATGGAAGCCAGGGCTCACACATGGTAATCATATCCTCTACCACTGAGCTATACCTCCAGGCCCAGTGTATCTTCCTTGGTGTTTATTTCCTATTTTAGTTTTCATTGATTTTTCCTAAAACTCTTAATAAACTTCCTTCTGAAAATTTCCATCAGTCTTGGCTGACCTAAAAAAAATAAAATTGAAAAAGAGTCGGGAGAGAAATGGCTCAGGGTGTCCCGGTGGCAGGGGCCCTGGGGGAGCAAAAGGTGAATGGGAGCTGGAGCCCAGCCTCTCCACCTCCCTGGCACAGGGCCTGGCACCCAGAAGGTGCCCAGTACAGCCTGGAGAGGATGTGAGGAAGCCCAAGATTATGGCGGTTTTCTCTTGGGAAACAGGCCGAAGGGCCACCCAGGTCGCTGCCCGGCATCTGCTCGCTCACCCTGGCCAGTGCCAAGCTGTGTGCGTGGTGCCCCTGCTCCAGTCCTGCCTGACAGGGGGGAACCTGATGTGCCCCTTGGGAAAATGCTGCCCTGGCCAGAGGAGTCACAGAGCTCCCCAAGGTGCTGGGGTAAGAAACTCAGGGAACCAGCCTTAGATCATGACAGTCAGATCCTATCCACTCTGGAGGCTGAGGCAGGAGGATCATCACAGGCTTGAGGCCACCCTGGGCTACATAGTGGGACCCTGTCTCAAAAAAAAACCCCCCAAAAACACCATCACCAACAACAAGTAGACACATTATATAAGGAAATCTGAGAACAGTACAGGTCAGAGACATCCCTAAATCTTTGGAGAAACCTTTGAAGAAATTGTGGATTAGCTACAATGGAATACATATCAATTCACATAAAATTTCTTTAATACCAGAGGCAAGAAAGCAATAGAGAACTTTGAGGGGCGGGGACAGAGTCTCACTAGGTTCCCCAGGGTGGGCTCATACTCGCCTGCCTCAGATTCCCAAGGTGTAGGATTGCAGGTGTGCACTACTGTGCCTAGCTGGAGTGTCAGTTGAAGGAAATAACATTTACACTACAGGATTTTAGATCCAGTCATATTATCATTTCCAATACGAAGATATAAAAAATATTCTCAGGAATGTTGAGGCCACTCCAGTTCTGTCATGAAGAGCCACATGAAAACACTTTTGGAAGAAGTATTCAAATATGATGAGAAATAAATCCAGAAGCTACTGCAAGATATGTGGGAAGTATCTTGTTTTATACCTTGTTAATGTTTACTGTTTTTCTAAAAAAAGTAGAGGGGCCAGGGATTTAGCTCAGTGGTTCTGCCGCCTGCCTCAGCAGCACAAGGTCCCAAGTTTGATCCCCGGTACCAAAAAAAAAAAAAAAAA